TGTAACCCTTTGAGCCACCAGCATGCTCCTGAGCTGATCCTAAAATGGGGGTGGGGTGGTGGTTCTTGATGGATTCCTGCCCTCCGCCCCCCTGCCCCGGGGACCCATCCCCGCTGCCTCTATCTCACTCTGAGCTAGGTGAGCAAAACCATGGTGGTGGTGGTCTCTGGGCTCCAGTTAAAGGCAGGGGCAGTGCAGGCAGGGCTGGCTGCAAGCAGGCAGGGCCGCCTCAGCCCGAGGAACCACTGTGTCATTGCCGGGACCACTGAGAGCAAATTTTCTGTCACGTGATATAACTGCTATATTTGTATCGGCTGAGTTTAGCACTGCAAGAAGGGTTACAGAGGAAGGCTTATACCTTATTTAAGAAAAAACAACAACAACAAAAAAAAAAGCAAAAAAAAACCCCAAAATTCAATAGCAGCCTGATGACACACTCACAGTAAGCTTCCAGAACAAGCTGCAAAACTTCAAATGCAACAATTTTTCCATTTTTTACATCTTCTTTCTCAGGGAGACTCCGGATGAGGTTTGGGTTTGTTGTTTTTTTTTGTTTTGTTTCTTTACAGAAATGCCAAATTTCACATGGGAAAGGCCTCACTCTGGACCAGCCTGGACTGGAAGCTGTCTACAGAAGGCTTTATCAGCTGCAAACTGCCCCACTGCCAAGGTTTTTACGCAGGCATAGGGCAACCAGCCTGGCCAGTGCAGCTACCAGTACAGCCAGGCAGATACCAGGCCACCGTGACACGGGCCAGTGTGTTTTGCTGGCACAACAGCATGACAAACCCGGTCAAAAATGCATCTGGTAAAAAGCCAGAGCAGGCTCTGGCTGGGTTCTCCAGTATGGGACCAGTATACACAGCCACAGCAAGCACCGAGCGCTGGGCACAGGTGCCTCAGCCCCACACCGATGGGAAGGCTGAGCCAGTGGCCCCGACTGGTGACAGTGCTGCACGCTGCAGAGCGCATTCAGCCCAGTTCCTCTTTCCCAGCCGCACGACCACGTCGGATGGGAAGATGGTTTCTTCCAGCCAAGGCAGAGCTCGCTCCACAGCAGCGCAAGCAGCCAGCGAGCCCAGCCCAGTCCCCTCCCACGGCACCCCTGTTAGCCACAGCTGGGGTGGGAGCATCCTCTTGCCCCCACAGGGAGGGCAGCCCTGCTTGGTGCAGGAAAGCAGGCAGGGGATGGGCAGCAAGGACACGGCTTGCCTGCAAGCTCACCCACGCCGGGGTGAAGCAGCTCTGGCCATTAACTGCCGGCACTTCCCACACATCCCCAGGCCTGTCTACTTCTGCCGGGCATCCCCTGCCCCCCAGAGGGAGGGGGTACGAACAGCAGCACCCCGAGACTGCCCACCACCAAGGCGAGGGAAAGCAAGCACAGGACAGTGCACTTGGCCGGCACTACTGTTCGCAGCCTCTTCTGTGACTTTAGCAACCTGGCCTTCCAAATACAGCACCTCAAAAGCAGCGCTTGGGCAGTGGCAGGCACTCCCACAGCCTCCAGAGACCACCAGTCACCCCCGATCTGGATACCTGCGCTTGTCAGGGAAAGCGACTTGCCAGCCGTGATGCCACTGGCCAGGCAGAAAGGGGAAAGTGAGAGGTGAACACAGTCAGGTTTCGGGGGGCGTTTCTCCACCCATCAGCCTGCAAAGTTCAGCTCCAAAAAGGAGGGCACCTTGAAGGTCCCTGTTCCCTCTTTGCGCTCCCCTTCCCCAAATCTGCTGGGACGTGCCACTTTGGGATGCTCTAAGCTCCCATCGCTGCCAGTTCGGCAAGCGAGCTGCACGCTGGGCCGGTGCTGACCATGCACAATTGCCTGATCATTTAGCACTTGGAGGGGGTGAGTTTACCCCCTGGGTTTGCAGGGAGGTTTTTGAACCCCTTACCAGGCAATCCGTGGGCTACAGCAAAGAGAGATCCCAAAACTATGTCCCCTCCCCTTCTCAGCAGCGAGGCGCAGGGAGAGAGGAGAAGGGAGTAAACAATTATTGCTACCAAATATGGGTCTAACAGCCAGCGATGAAGCCACGCCAGAAGCATGTAGACATCCTGCCGGCAGATTCAAAGGGCTGGGGAGCTCGAAGGGGCACGGGCAGAATCTGGCAGGGAGCTGGGCTGGGCAGGGAGCACACAGAGGATGGGGAAGGGATCCCCTTGCCCAGTTAGCTGCTCCAGCCTGGAGCTTTTCCAGGCTTTTTTTTCACCCCCGACGACGGTCAGTCCTGCCCTGCAAGCATCCACCCCGTGTCTCCCACCCCGGGGAGAGCCACGAACAGCTTTGTCTGTCCCGGGGTGATCGGCAAGAGCTGCCGGGGTGACTCCTCAGCCCCCCGGGCTGCGGCACGGCCGTGGGGACCGTGTCCCTCCGGCGTCTCCACCCAAAACCGCGCCACGGGGCCGGAGACTCACTTCCCACTCGCTTCCCCCCCCCCCGCCCCGTACAGGCGGGGGTGGGCAGGAAGGGGAAAAGCTTCGCCGAACATGCCCCAGTCGGCGACGAAGCTCCCCCACCCCGGTCAGAGGGCCGGTGGCCGCAGCCCAGCCCCTCCCGCCCGGTCCCCGGGGACCCCCCCCCCCCCCCGAGGCGGGGATGCTGGCCGAGGCCTAGCGAGCGTAGGCTTCGGGCCGAGGACTTGCAGCACGGGCAGCTCTTTTGGGGCAGGGTAACAACAAGGCCGGGATTAACGGGGCCGGGACCGGCCGCGCCTGCCCGTGCTGTCCCGGGACCTCCGGTGTGGGCGCCGGGGCTGGGGAACCGACAGCGCCCTAAAAACTAGGCCAAGGCGTGACCGACCCCGGAAGCCCCTGGGTCACCACAACCCCACGGAGATAGCCCGGTGGGAACAGCGAGGTCTCGGTAACCGGGATGCTGCTGCTCCACCTCCCCCTCAACGACCCCGGTGGGCGGGGGGGGGGGGTGTCCTCCCCCCGGGACATCCGTTTCCGGTAGCCCCCCGGAAACCAAGGCGCTGCTGGTCACCGGGATCCAAGCCCCCTCCCCCCCCCCCCCACGCCCCCCACCCCCTTCCCCTCCCCCACCCCCCCCTTCCCCTCCCCCGCCCCACTCTACCCCACCCCCGTTACCGGGACCCCCTGTGCCGCGCCGATCCCCATACCTGTGAGAGAGCGGGAGCAGCGCGGCGGCCCCGCCGAGGCTGTGCGGAGCTGGGCGGCACCGCCCGCTTCCCGCCCAGCCGCCCTGGGCCGCGCATGCGCGGAACGGCGCGGAACGGCGCGGAAAGGCGCGGAACGGCGCGGAACGGAACGGCTCGGCTCGGGACCCCGGGGCCGCCCTCCGCACGGAGCGACGCGTCGATCGGTATCTGCGCCACCCGGCCATCCCTCCCCGGTCTTAGCCCCCCCGACTCCTAGGCCCCAGTCACCCCACCTTCTCTTCCCCTACCCGGGCGTTCCTGGCCACCCTCCCCCGCGCTTACCCACGGTCACCCCCCCCGCGCTCCTCGGGCCCGCGGTTCCCGGCCGCTCCGCGTTCATCCCTGGCCACCCTCCCCCGCGCTTACCCACGGTCACCCCCCCCCCCCTCGTCGGGCCCGCAGTTCCCGGCCTCTCCGCGTTCATCCCTGGCCACTCCCCCCCGCGCTCAGCAGGCCCGCAGTCCCCGGCCGCTCCGCGAGTATCCATTGACATCCTCTCATTCCTCTTCGGGCCCCAAGTCCCCAGTCACTCCGCGGGCATCTTTGGCCACCCCCCTTCTTCCCCCCCCACCCCGCGGGCCCGCAGTCTCCGGTCACTCCGCGGGCATCCGTGGCAATCCCCTCCACACCCCCCCCCCCCCCGGCATCCGTGGCCATCACAGGCCCCGGCCGCTCCGCCGGTATCCGCCCCTCTTTCCCTCCCGGACCCGAAATCATCGGTCACTCCGCGGGCATCCCCGGCCATCTTCCTTCTCCATCCCGGGCCCGCAGGCTCCGGTCGCTCCACGGGCATCCGTGGCCATCCCCCCCTCCTTCACCCCCCGGGCATCCCCGGCCACCCCTCCTTTTCCCCTCCCTGGTCCCGCAGGCTCCGGGGTCATCCCCCTCCTTCACCCCCCGGGCATCCCTGCTGAACCCTCTTCTCCCCCCATCGTCTCGCAGGCTCCGGTCACTCCGTGGTCATCCCCCCTCCTTCACCCCCCGGGCATCCCTGGCCGCCTCCCCATCTCCCCCCCCCCCCCACCCCGGTCCCCCAGGCTCCAGTCACTCCACAGACATCCGTGGCCATCCCACTCCTTCAGCCCCGGCCATCCCTGGCCACTCCCCCTTCTCCCACCATGGTCTCGCAGGCCCCGGTCACTCCGTGGTCATCCCCCCTCCTTCACCCCCCGGGCATCCCTGGCCGCCTCCCCCTTCTCCACCCCCCGCCCCGGTGTCCAAGCTCCAGTTACTCCACGAGCATCCGTGGCCATCCCCCTCCTTCACCCCCCGGGCATCCCCGGCCGCCCCGCCTTCTCCCCCCACCCCAGGCTCCGGTTACTCGCCGGGCATCCCCGGCCACCCCCGCTTCTCCTCCTCCGGTCCCGCAGGCTCCGGTCACCCCATGGCCATCTCCCCTCCTTCACCCCCCGGCCATCCCGGCCACCCCCCCTTCTCCCCCTCTCCCCGGTCCCGCGGGCTCCGGTCACTCCGTGGGCATCCCGGGTCACCCCTCTTCACCCCCCCCCCCCCCCGGTCCCTCAGGCACCGGCCGCTTCGCGGACATCCCTGGCCACCCCCCTCTTTCCCCACCCGTCAGTCCGCGGGCATCCGCGGCCACCCCCTCTGCCCCCTCCGGTCCCAAAGTCCCCGGCCGCTCCGCACACACATCATCCCCCCTCCCCGTCCCGCAGGCCCCGGTCGCTCCGCGGCCATTACCCCGCCCCTTCCCCGCCCTTCCCGGTCCCTCAGGCCCCGGCCCCGCCCCTTCCCTTCTCGACCCTCCCCACCGCTGGCCAATGGGCGCCCGCGGGACGCCCCGGGAGGGGCGGTGCCAGCGGAGCGCGCGAGACCTGTCGGGAGGCGGAGGGCGGCAGCGGCGTGGCTGGACGGCAGCGGGCGGAGGTGAGCGCCGGGCCGGGTCCCGGGTCCGGGTCTCGGGCCCCAGGGGCGGGAGGCAGGGGGGCGCTCGGCGGGGCCAGGGCCAGGGTAAGGGTAAGGGTAGGGGTAGGGGTAGGGGTGGTTGCCCGAGCGCTGCGTGGGCCGCCGGGAGCCGGGGCCGTCTCCCCCGCCCCGGGTGGGTCCGTGGCCGTCAGGCCTCGGGCTTGCGCAGCCCCGGTCCGTGCGGACTGCGGGTGCGTCTCTGGCAGCGGCCTACCCGTGCTTCACCCTTGGGCCTGCCCCACGGCTGGGGTGGCGAGGGGGTGCTCGGATTCTTCCCTCAGGTGGGTGTGTGGGTGCGGAGGGGCTTGGGCTCCCTTCTGCCCCGCTCGCTGCTATCTCCTCTTGCTTCTCATCCACCCCTCACTGCTGGCCCAGTGCACACATCCTGGATGGAAGGTCCTCGGTGGCTGTGGGAGGAACGGGGCCCTGGCGTTCCCCAGGCTCTGCCCAGCTCCCCCTTCCTCTCGCTGCTCTGATTTCTGTCAGTGAGACCCTGATCTCCGTGCCGGCTGGCAGAGCAGCCCCACTGCCCTGCCCTTCTGGTTTCGGGTGGTACTTTTTGGGAGGGGGGGGGAGGGTTTGGTGTGGGTGGTGTTTTTTTTTTGTTTTTTTTTTTTTGTTTTCAGATCGTGGGGCTTGCCACCTAGATGTGAAAGCTTAACGGTGCTGGGGAGGGGGGAGTGATGGATGCCCCCGCGCTGGCTGAGAGAGCAGTGCTTGGGTTCAGACATCCCCGACAGGCAGGCCTGGCTGATACCAGCGCCGCCGGGGAAGCCATGAGAACAGAGCTAGGCCACAGCTTCTCAGGGACTGAGCGCTCTAGGCCACGGCTTATCAGCAGATAACAGCAGCAGCCCGAGCCGGGACTAGACAAAACTAAAAGTACACCAGCTGCACACTTGAACAAAAGCAAAGTCAGGATTTGACTACAAGTCCATCTCTTTACACTATAAATACCTGCACCCTCCTCGAGCCTGCTGAGCTTTCCTGCACGGCAGCAGGCTGCACAGCAGTGATCTCTCCCCTTCAGCAGAGACGCCTCTCAAGGTTCCTTCTCAAGGCTGAGAGATCCTTTGGCCAGCATCTGATATCTACTGCGAGGTAAGTGGCATTTTACATTTGGCCTAAAACTATACCGTATGGTAGCAACATTTTTATATATATATACACCTATAGCTTAATTATTACAAGGATACTAAGTAGTAGGGTGTTTCACCACTGTCTAAATTGTTGTTTAAATCCTCATTTAAATTACTGTTTAATTACTGTTCAGTGATTGTTTAATCACCATTTGATTATCATTTAATTTTCATTCAGTGATTGATTATGATTTGATCATCCTTTAATCACTAATAAAACCTTTTCAGTTCACCCCATGATGATGACTTCTCTTAATGATTTGCTTACAACAGGAGACTGGCTGTGCTGGCTGCATCTGGGGCTACAGCCCCTTCGGGGCTTCAGTGGAGTGGTAGGATCTTACCTGCTCTCCATGGCAGAAAGTCTGGGGCCCTTCCACTTTCCCTCTCCTTCCTGCAGTTTTTGTGTTCTGGGTGAAGTGTGGCTCCTGTGGCTGGGTCTCGGTAGTCTGATGGGGAAGATGGTGTGGTGGGGCCACCAGTGCTGGTATTGTGGCCTTGTTGGGGAAATACTTGTGGGCTGTTTGTTGCTGCAGGGCCCTGACAGCTGTTGCCTTTGTACGGGGAGACTTTGTCTGTAGGGGCTGAGGGGCATCTCGAAGGAGGGCTGGTGTCTCCTCCTGTGCACATAGTCACTTTGGGTGTTCTGCTCAGATGTCCTCTACAGAGGATCTGCCTACCCTGCTGGATGACGATCTGCTTGACTTAATTATGAAGGATAGTGGTTCCTTCCCTGAGAATAATCCGTTGGAAGGCTTAGATCTGCTAGACCCTGAGGTGAGTTCTTTGGGAGGAATCGCTGCTGGGTTGTGGTTCAGGAGATTTGACTCCCTGCTGAGTAAAAGATTTTTCTCCACAGCTGGACATGGAGACTGATGACATGATCACCTCCATGCTGCAGCACTTAAAAGATGACCCACATTCGCTGCAGGATTATTTGCCAATTGTCAGTGAGAGCGTTTGTGAGGATCTGCTTCTGTCCCATGACCCTAGCAGTAATTCTGACATCAGGCACATTGTGCAGATAGATCACAACTATTCCTGCAATCAGGATAGTTCTGTGCTGGAAAGCATGAAGTCTGATATGGCAGAAGGAGGTGTTTCAACTGACTTTGGTAAGTGATGTGCGTGGGCTCTTTCTGTCTTGCCTACAGGCAGAAGAGCAATCCCACACTGGAGTTTTTCTGGGTGAGTGCCAGACAGCAATGGAGATCACCAAGTTTAATGGATTTCTGCTGCTGTAAAATTGTGGTTTTCTGCTACTCAAAGCTGGCTGATCAGGTGCTGCCTCACTGAGGCCTGGCGCTTGACTCTCTTTTCGTTCTCCAGCAATGGATTTGGAAGGCACAAGCAATACACTGGGAGAGAACTCCAGTTTTCCCACTGCTGCTGCTGCGGATGCTGAACACCAGCTTGTGCCTGGAACCACTGTGGAGGTACTGATTGCAATGTGTGTGGGCCCCAGCTGTTGCTTCTGCTCACATCTCCCCTTCTCTCCTAGCGTTGCTCCTGTGACAGGTATCTGAGGAGAGCATGATGCTGCTTTGGGAGAGTTGATCCCAGTTCTGTGTGCTTTCTGCATTCCTTTCTTCCCTGGGATGGACTTCCTTTGCTTTGCATTCTCAGCAGGTGTATTTTTGCTGATTTCTAGTTTGAGATCCCTGGGCTATTCCTGACACAGGAGGAGAAGCAGTTCCTGGAGGAGGAAGGTCTTTCATTACCACCCTGTCTGACAGTGGACCAAGTAAGTCCTCACTACAGCATGTCACCCCCAAACAGGCTTGGACCACTCAGATGTTTCAGCCAGAGTAGGTGTTTGAAAATACAGGATGGTGCCTTGATGAGAGGATTGGTGCCCAGGTGCTCAGTTCAGGGCAGAATGTGGCAGGGCTTGGAGCCCTCTTCCTCCTTTTGGGGCCCAAGGGGTGTCCACATGCACAGCAGCCTCTGCTTTACTAATCGGGTAGATACAATGAGCAGTGAGACTTGGCTGCTGTCAGTCACCCCACTAATGACTGCTTGCAGGAGACAGTTACACCACAAGTGCCTCCAAACTATGTTTTCCTGCTTGCCCTAGTGGCTTGTGAGCTGCATGCTTTTCATCTCCCTTAGGTATGCCTCATTTTTTCTACACTGGGGAAGCTGCTGGCTGTATCAGCAGGCCAGAGTTTGCCTTACAGCTCCTGCAGTTCATTCAGTGGTGTGGGAGGGATAGAGGACAAAAGCAGGTGGACTGAGCACTGAGATGTGCGAAGGGTTTGTGAGGGCTGAATTGCCAATGCCGTGGGGTTGCTGCTAATGAAAAGTCACTCTTGCAGACTGAATACCAGCTTATGAATGGTGTGCATCAGACCCAGAACAAGAAGCCAGCCCGGGCTAGTGGTCAAAGGAAGAAGAGCAACATGAGTGGCCGGGAAGACAGGTACAGGCACACAGCAGTTTCACCCAACACTGAAGGGACAGATAGGTCCTTTTAGGGATCCTTGGCAGAATGATGACTGCATGAAATAGTTTCAGTTAAAGCTTTTGTTTTCTTAACATATTATGATTACTATAGCACAGAATTTATGATTAAGATGGTACAGGATTTACCTGAAGAATCAGATTTCCGCAAGCAGAATCAATGCAGTACAATCTGTAAGCAACGTAATACAAAATTTATAATACAACTTAATTTATTATTTCTAATCACCTAGATCCTAATATAACTTATCATTTCTAATCGCTGGACCCTCTGCAAAGGGTCAGATCTTAATACATGGTTTGCTGTATCAATATAATGTTCATAATCTAGACTCAAAAATTATATAAATGAATATGAGTCACTCCCTCAGTCATGAGAGGAAGCAGACAATGGTGGAGGTGTCCCTGGCCAGGGGATTCCCAGGTCTCACTGTCCAGCAGCAGCTCCAGTCCAAGTTCCCACTTAGGTCGTGGAACTGCTTGATTTTATGGACAGTGTTATGTGTGCTGTTACTGTTCCCTGATCTGGGGCAAGGTCATTAGCAGCATGGGGCTGGTGGGGAGCCTGGGACTCTCAAGGCCACTGAGGAAGGGAACAGCCAGCCTGTCACCCAGGAACCTTGGGGCTGGTAGGGAAGGGAAGAAGAAAACTGTTCAGGTTGTCTGCTTGGTGCACGAGACCTTCAGGGCCTGATAACGAGGGGACAAGAACAAAGAGGTGGCCTCCTCAGTCAGGCTGGCTGCTCCCCCATAGAATGGTGTTCATTATGCTGACCACATTGTCAGGGATCAGGAGCAGGGGAAACTGATCACTGGCAGCTGTGCTGTGCCCCTGCTGGGGTCTGTCCACCCTGGGTGGAAAGTGAGGCTGACCCTGTGGGGCAGCAGCTCTCCTCAGGGGGCTCAGAAGCTCGGGGCATAGCTTGCCCTGCTCTCTTACACTTGGAGATAACCCAGAGCTTCCTCTGTTCAAACCAGGTGCTGGTCTGCCAGGTCCAGTGTGTTTTCCAGGTCAGACTAGTTTGCAGTACAGCCTGACATCATGGATCTGCAGGGCTGGTGTGTCACTAGGAGCGAGCATCCTTACACATCAGTCTGGTGCTTCCCTGCGGGACTGGGCTGGGCTTGCCCCTCCCCAAACCTGGTGTGAGATGTTGCACTCTGGGCTTAGCTCCTGGTGGTGCTAGGTAGATCCCAGGAGCAGTTTCATATGCCCCAACCACCCAGAAGCAGCGGCTGATTACTTGAGGAGAGACACTGGTGAAGTGTCTGCTGTTGACTAACAAAACTTCTCTGTTTTTCTTCCATGCTGTTTGTCTTTCTTGGGAAGGTTGGCAGCCTGCAAAACTCAAAACCGTGAGCTGGAGAAGAAGGTGCAGCTGCTGCAGGAGCAGAACAGGTGAGTTCTTCCTGGATGTGGCAGGAGATAACGGTGGGGAAGGCTGTTGCTCTTTGGATTGTGGCCTGTCCTGGGCTGCAAAGGCGGGAGGAGAGGAGCCTGCAGCTCTTGTTTCAATCACTGCATTAACCTGCTTTGCCTGCTCTCCTGCAGGTTACTTCTGAGCCACTTGCAGAAACTGCAGGCTTTGGTGAGACAATCTGCCAACAGGACTACCACGATTAGAACAATGGTGAGCGTCTTCAGCCTTGGTGTCTCTGAAGGGGTCGCTGCTGTCCTAAGTTTGGGAGAGAGGTGTTTATTGAGGCCGATGATGCCTATCCATGTCCTTTGGTGAGGTCTGTGCTGATCTTTCTGTTTCCAGGTCATAATGCTGTCCCTCTACCTGTTTCTGTCCCACAACGTCTCCATGTTGAAGGGCAATGAGCCGCAGACGAAGTGGTGGGGTGAGTCCCTGGGTGCTGAGGCGTGTCAGAACGCCTTCCTTAACTCTGGGGTGCCTCTTGCCTGGGGTGACCACTGCATTTGGCTTTGCTGACATGCTCCAGCTCTGGGCTGTTACTCAGCCCTGTTGCAGGGGCTCACCTGGGCCTTAAGCCAGGGATGGTACAAGAACTGGGGAGATCCAGTCCCTCTTGGAGCACAGTCCGTGCTTGTGCATGGCAGCTGTATAGCACCCTCTCCCCCCCTCCTTTTGGAAGGAGGTACCCCTAGTGGAATAGTCTATTCCCCTCTCGTTCCTCTCACGGGTTCTGTGGTGACCCATGCTCAGAGCAGGGCGGTGAGAGGCTGGAAATGACAGGGCTCTACCTCTTTTGCAGCGCTGTCACAGCAGAACCACGCATTCCTAAACCGGGTGGTGGCTGTTGAGCAGGAGGGTGCTGCGATGGAGGGGTCAACCCCAGCAACTGAGGACCCCTTGCTGTCGGGCATTCTCAGTCAATTACAGGAAGTGTTCCAGGGTCAACCCAACACTGATCCCACATCTTCCAATAGTGCCTCGTGCCCGGCCCCTTCTGCAGCGTCTGGGTCTGGGCTGGGCTCTCACCAGCCTCAGGAGCAGGGCTGCAGGAGCTATGTTCTGCATGTGCCGGTGGCATGGGCAGCCAAGAAGCAGGAGGAGGTGGAACATGCTCCCCCAATTGTCATCCAGCAGCAGCATGCTGATGAGATGAGCGCCTCCTCCTCCTCCTTCTTGGGGTGAAGCTGAGCGCCCTGCCAGGCAGGGACAAACAGAGCTGCATTAACATAATCTATCAAAGCAGATTCTTCTGAATACTATCACAATTGCTGGCAGCTCAGAGGGTTTACCAGGGAGGAATTGTTTTAGAGTTGACCTGTTCTGACACTGTTCTCTATATCTTTAGAAGGAATCTATCTGAGAAAGCGTAGGAAACTGGGAACTTTGCTATGGCTGCTGACATGGCTAGCCCGGGATGTGTCCCGTGGCTTGCAGGGAGGCACTGTAGCATGGAGGGTGAAGGTGGTTGGCCCCTACTTGTTCTGATGGTGTAGTTGGTGATGAAGGCCACTGTCCTGCTCTTTCCCTGCACAGGTGGAGGTGAACAAGCTAAATCGTGCACTTGTTACTGTGTCTGGTGTCTAAGCATCTGTCCCTTGTCCCTTCCCCTTATTCCTGTGGTGTTGCCTGACCTATAGGTGTAAGATAGTGAGCTGACCTTCAGTGCTCTTACAGGGAGTGGTCTAGCCCTTGTGACAGCTTGCGTGTCACCTGTTCCTGCTACCTTTTGAGCCATGACCATAGCCTGGCCAGAGAAGGTAATGTGGAGTCCTTCCTGAGCCATGTGTGCTGTTTCCCTTCCGTAGGGTCTCAGCCATTCATCTCCCCAGCCTTGGGAGCGGGGCTACTGGGCCTCAGGGAGAAGGCATGCCTGTAGCCGGTGTGCAGAGGAGGAATGGAGCAGAGAGCAGCAGAGCTGCTTGATCTTCCGGAGGCTATCCTGGCCACAGGACTGTTTCAGAGTGTCCTTGTGTGCCCGAGCCTTGCTGTGGTGGCTGGTGAGGCAGTCAGCTGCCTCTGGTTGCTGAGCAGAAACATTTTGAGCTGGTGAAGAGTGCATTTCCTGGAGTGCAGCTTAGTAGTAGTACCTGTTAAGCATCTCTCCTTACCCTGATTTAAGACATTTCATAGAACCCTATAGGATAGTTTTAAGTTAGAAAGGACCTTTAAAGGTCATACAGTCCAAGACCCCTGTAATGAGAAGTAGTATCTTCTACTAGATGGATAGGTTTAAGTTAGAAGGGACCTTTAAAGGTCACATAGTCCAAGACCCCTGTAATGAGGAGTATATTCTACTAGATGGATAAGTTTAAGTTAGAAGGGACCTTTAAAGGTCATATAGTCCAAGACCCCTGTAATGAGAAGGAGTATCTTCTAATAGATAAGTATAATAGTTATTAATTTCCTTAGTGATAACATTTAAATAAATAGTAATGGCATCTGACTATGTCCTTTGTGGTCATTTCAGTGTGGGGTCGGGCAAATGGGTGGAGGGTAGGGGCTATGCCAGGGGCTTGGGACCATTGTTGGAGGAACCCAGGGGAGTCTGGAGGGTGATTACTCTGCAGCATAACGAAGGAGAAAGCGTGCTGCCTTCCCTTCCCGTGGCTGCAGCTGTGCAGAGGGGCTTGTTGAGGCACGGTGCGAGTTTGCAGGGCAGTTGCTCTGCTCTCGCCCCCTCTTCCAAGGGTGCAAAACCAGTCTTGAACCACTTTTGGAAACAGGTGAATGTTGTGAGCCCTCGGTACCCACCTGTGACCTTGCACACACCCAAGCCAACCCCTCAGAAGCGAGCAGCTTCCCTAGTAGGAAGCGCAAGGTCCGGGTGTCTGCCCCCACAGCTGCTTTTGTAACGGGGAGCTGCACAATCGCAGGAAGCGGAGCAGCGCCAGGGTGGGCTGGGGACTGGGGGGGGAGGTCCCTGCCTGCTGGGTGGTGGCTGAATTGGGGCTGGGCCCTGGGTTTGGGGTCCGTGGGAGGTGCTAGCAGACCCTGAGCGCAGGCTGTGGAGCCTGGTGTGGGGCTTGGGGGTGCGGGAGGTGATGGGTGCAGGCAGGTCCGTGCTTGCAACCCACGAGGGAAGCAAAGGGTGCAGGTGAACAGATGTCTGCCCGGGGAGGAGAGAGCGGCGGGGGGGGGCAACTCACCCATGGGCCCTGCCTCGGGACGGGCAGCAGCACACTCAACAGGATCAGGTCCCAGCTCTGCCCTGGGCAGGGCAGGCAGCCTGCGAGCGTCCTGAGGGAACTGGAGCTTTTTCCACAGGAGCTGTGCACAGTGGCTGGAAGATCTAGGACCCCATCCTCACTTTTCGTTTCATTTTATCACTTCCAGTTCACTTACTGAGTATCTGACGCTGCTAAGGAATCTCAAGGAGTAAACCTGGGAGACATCCCTACTCCAGGGGAGATCCTGGCATGCAACCTGCTGCTGTGCAGGACAGCTCAACAGGCCCTGGGGCTGTCCTCTGTGGAATAAGTTGATTGATTTATTTCAGATCAGCTGTATTGCAGTTGGTGCATGCTCCACTAGCCCTCAGCTGGTGAGTAAGATGTATGGCCTTTATCTATTGTGTTGTTATCCATCTCCCTGGAGTCCAAGGTAAATGAGATGCAGCCATCATGACCACCACTGGTGGCTATTGCTTTAAGCAGAAAGGCGGTGGGGCAGGGAACTACACTACCACACCAGGTCTGCTGTATTTCATCGCTTTCCGTGTTCTCCTGAACCAGCGGCTCAGAGCCAGCGAGAGGAAGGAAGCCTAGCCTGGCCCTCACCTTGGGTTAAAGGGCAACAATAATAAAAATGCCTGTAATGAGTCCTCCGGCTGAGGAGACTTGCACCTTGTTTTCATCAAGCAGAGGAACAGGAGGCACCTGGTATTTCTGCCACTGTCCTCCTGTTCCTCTGCTGCAGACCCTCCGTGACACTTTTCCCTCGCGTGCCGCAGGGACCGGAGCGCAGGCTGCGTGTACATCGGTGCTGCTTGCACGCACACACGGCCCCGCACTCTGGCTTAGGTGTTAGGGTGCCTGCTTGCCCTGCTCACCGTGATCCCTCTGTTACTCCCGAGGTTAACCCATATCCCACGTATGTCCTGGCAGATGCCTGCATCAGCATTGTGGGGGCACGCCAACAAACCAGGAACATGACCCTTTCAGGACAAAATATCCTGCTCAGCCCTGGGCGAGTCCTGCACGGGTGCTGCCGAATTATCTTTTTTCCTTGGTGTGTCCCCGAGTGTTGGTAGTGCCATCTCCTTTCCATGGTAGCAACATGTAGAAAGCTATGAAAGCAAGTGAGATTTGCCTCCTGTTGCTGAAGGGGACCTGGGCTGTGCAGCTGGTACAGAACACCTTGTGCTCACAGCTTTAAAGAAACGTTCTTTCCTTTTCAAAGGAATTGGGGTTTCTTGGAGAGGTGAGAATTTCAGTCAATAGCAGAAAACGAGCCCTTCTTTTCAAGGGAAACCCAAGCCCTGTGTCATCATCCGGCCTATTTTTATCCACTAGCACCAGCTACTGGATAATGGTGGAAACATAAAAAGTAACCGAAAACCGAGCGCTCAGTTAAAAGAGCAGTTGGAAATACAGCAATGGGGACACTGCCTTCCCTCAGCTCCCAAAATCAGGCACCTCAACCCCAGGGCTGCTGAACCCCCACAGGAGCTGGCCGTGTCAGAAGCAAAGTGCCTGAGACAGAAAGTGGACAGGTCAGCTGGGGATGCCCTAAAAAATCAGCCAGTGCCAGAGGCATCCTTCCCCTCTTCCCTTTCCCTGTCCATGTGCAGTGCAGTGGGGGCTTGGCTGTAGACCCCATGTGTGCTTTGCTTTGGGGGCACGGCCGTGTGGAGGGGGGGGTCTCTTGGGACAGGCTGTTTGGGAGTTTTCCCCACCCCTGGGGCAGGAGTGCGGTTGGTGGCTGGGAACAGGAGGCTGCCGGCTCTGCAAAAGCCATTTGCAGCTGTGCTGTGTGTTTGGGCACCTGAAAAACTTCCTCTGACTGCACGGGGAAGGCTCTGCCTGGAGCCTGCCATGCAGCCCTGGGACCTGCTGCTCGTGGCATCCCACTAATGCTGCACCTCATCCCACTGCCTGGTCACAGCCTGGTTTACCCTGCACCCCCGGGGGACATTTGGGAGGGACACGGAGGGACAAGTTAACCACAGCACAGCGGCAGGTTTGCAGGCACAGCACTGCTGCACACTGCCAGGGAGGGGACATGGGACAGCCCCCATCCCCAGGGACCCTGCTGCCCTTGGCAATGCTGCACAAAGACTCCCCATGGGAGGGTGGTTGTGGGGCAAGATAAACCCCACAGGCTGAAAGCAGGGCAGAAACCGGAGCCAACCCCTACATCCCCACAAAAAAACCCTTTATTTTGCACCTGGTGCCCAGCCTTCATGCTGGACTGAACTTGCCTGGGAAAGCATGAATCTGTGGGCTGATTGCTGCTGAAATGCAGCACATCAGCGTGAGCAGAGCCTGACTGGGGGAAGTGCCGTCTCCTTGCTGACCTGGGCCTCCTGGATTTCCCCCGCTTGCTGTTATTTTATCCGGGTGAAAACACTGGTGCCAATCCTGCGGAAAACCCCAAATCACTGTGGTTCACCCAGCCAGGGTCACTTATGCCGTGATGGAAGGTATAGAGGGGAAACCCGAGGAGGGGGGAGGCACTGTGTTCCCCAGTGCCTCACTGGGTGCTGAGTGGGATGCTCTGGGCTCCAACACCCTGTAGCAGAGGCTGCACTGGGTGCTGGCATCATGTCCTGCTCTCTCCCTGCTGGGGAGGGTGCAAGGAGAGTCCCGGGGGGGGGTGTGTGTGTGTGTTTATCTGGGGCCAGACCCCATCCTGGGGCACACCCAGGATGCAGGGGCTGGCCAGGTCACAGGGGTGCTCCTTAGTCCCTGCTCGTCACCAGTGACAAACCCATTTCACCCTCCTGGTCCTGCCATGCCTCATCCCATGGGATTTCTCCCTTCTTGAGCCCAGGGTGTAGGCAAGCTTGGCACGGCAGTGATCAGGATCTGGTGCTCACCGGGTGGCTTTCCAGTCCTCGGCGGGGCTGTTGGCTGCCTCTCGCAGGAGCCACAGGGCGTGCAGGGTCTCCGCCCCATCGGTGCCCACGTAGCACTGGCCCAGGAAAGCAGTCGTCCGGGCTATCTCTGAGTCTGGAAGGGTCCGAGGTGACGTGTGTTGGGGTGACAAGGTATGAAGCCACCCCCCTGCATCCTGCCAGCATCCCTGCTGCAGGGTCACAGCTCCCTCCCACCTACCTTGGAGCTGCCAGCGCACAGTGAAGGAGAAGGTGGGCTGCGGGACCAGCTCCGCATCCTGTTGGATCCCCTCCAGTGGCGAGGTGAGGATTTTGGAGTCACTAGCAGCCAGCCCCGGCAGGTAGGAACCGGAGAAGCTGCCGTCCTTGCCAAGGACAGACACGACCATCCGGCAGCCGGTGTCGCTCCGCCATGACCCGGAGAGGAGGCACTGAAAGGCCAGTGTTGTTGTTTTGGGGTGCCCAGCCGGACAGGGGAGGCATCCTGCTGCAGCCCCGCCACCCTGGCTCTGCCCAGGGATGCCTGCAGCACGAGGGTACATGCCACAGACCCTGTGTGAAGCTGATGACACAGGCATCTCCACCTCGGCACAAGCAACACACCCGCAGCACCGATTTCCATCCGCACCACCGCTGCCCTGGGCTGTTTGCTGCTGTCACCCAGGGGAGAGCAGGTCCTGCCCACGCTAGAGCAGAGGGTGTTCTGCTTTCCCTCCATGCTTGATGGGAAACAGGGTTTTTCTGGCACATGGCTTTGTTTGCCTGTCTCTGGATGGATTCCCACAGCGAGGAGCACCCTTGCAGGAACAGTCCCTCCCTCCCAGCCTCTCCGCATCTTCCTTCAGCCCTGCATAGTGATGGTCCCACCGGCTCTGGCAGCCCAACCCCAACTCCCTGTTGAGCACCACAACCCCAGCAGCAGCCTTTGGGGTCTAGCAGGGTGCCAGCACCATGCCTCCATTGCCACTCGTCCCCATACCTTCCTCTCCTCAGGGGCAAAAGTTCTCCTGCTCATCCCAGCCTAAAATGGCATTTAAGAGAGAACCCCCGGCTTCCCGCACGGCATCCCAGCGCTATGTCTGCCACATGCCCATCATCACCCGTCCCTGTACCTTCCTCTCCGCAGGGGTGACACGTGCTGCCAGGGCGAGGACCAGGACCAGGGCGAAAGCACCGCTCCCCATGGCCACGGGGCTGCCAGGCGCCCGGCACGGCTCCCACACGGCCCCGCGCCCCAGCCCCCTTTATAGGGCTGTAACCGGAGCCCCACAGGCACTGGGCTGGCAGCCGTGGGGCGGGTGGCCCGGTGGCAGGGCGCCCGGGACAGGCGAGACGAGGAGGTCTGCGTGACCTGGGGGCAGTGCCGGAGGAACGTGGGGATGAGCACGGCTGTGGAGGGCAGGGAGGGGACACGGGCTTTTTTTAAGATCCTTATAACAGCCTGGAAAGCATCAACTGTCTTCCTTGGGAACCTGCCTCCTGTGCATTCAAGCTGGAAGTTATTACCTGTTTAACCGATTAACTGCTCCCTGCTTTGCTGCTGTCACTGCCTGACCAGGGTGTCACCCAGGTGGGGCCAGGGCATCCCTGGCAGAGGCAAGCTGCAGCGCTTGCAGCACTGCACAGGAGGGGAGGCTTGCCCTGCCTTCTGCTTTAGCAGCAATAACATTTCCCCAGCATTTTCTGGATATCAGCAGCTAATTTTGCTGCTTTCACTTTTACGAGAGTTGGAGGAAGAGGTAACCAGAGGGACAACGGGGTCCAAGCAAGTGTGTTTGTTAAACACATCCAGCTTGCTAACCAGCCCTGCGTTTGCACTTCTTCCTCACATTTGCTGGCCTTCGGGCCTTTGAATGTACAAAACACAGCCAGCCTGCACTGTGCCTGAGTTCTCTGTTTGCTGCAGTGCCTGGAGCAGGTGTGGGCCTGTGGGCAACTGAAAATTAAGGTGGAATTCGGCTGCACAAACACATGCCGTTGCTTGGACAGCAGTGTCTGGGGCACTGAGTGGCAGCAGGGCTGCAGTGTGTGTACTGAGGGTGGGGAAGTCCTAACCCGTTCAGTGCCTGCCACTTGCCCTGGCGCATCCTGGGACCCTGCTGCTGCTGCTGCTCAGCACCTCTCCCTCTGGTCTGGATGGCCCCAAAGTCTGGGGCGAGCGTACACCACCCCTCACCTAACACCTCACTCCTCCTTGTTGCCTTTTATAGTCCCAAACTCATGGGTTTAACACAAGGGCCTGAGAAATATCCCCCCCTCCCAGGGTATCTCTTTCTCTTGCCCTGGATGCCACACTCCATCCTTTCAGCCTGACACCAGCCCCTGCCTTTCTGTGCTGTTTGGCAGGGGCAAGCCACCCTTTTTGACGTGCCAGGGAGGTGGCAGCCGCCACTCCACAACACGGCAGCGTGCACTGGCCTTGTTGGGGCTGAGCCAGGCTCAAGAGACTGTACAGCTCTAGTGTGCTGGCATCCCCAGGTCTGGGTCATATTGGTAACGCTTGTACAAGAGGCTTCGTCTTCACCTGTGGACGTGCCAAAGACTTTTCATCAGAAGAGCTGACTAAGCTTGGCAGGTGTCCACAGCGGCAGATAGAGTGGCACTGCTGAAATGCAGCAGCAGAGAAGGGTAAAATCCCTAGCTGCAACCCAGGGGAATGAGATGGGGGCTTTAACTGTGCACATGTTATTTTGAGTGCCGTGCAGCAGGAAGGAAGCACTTTATCAATATTTCACACCTACCAATACAGTTACCTCCATCACCCAACCCTATGGAGCACCAAGTCCTGGGACTGGCGAGGCACCTGGTGGGGATGTGTATGAAGGCACTGCAAGGAAGGCGGCTGGATTTGGGGTGCTGCCGCCACTGGCAGGCAGGTAGGGAGTGGTGGCCCAGGGTGGAATTTCGGGTTAGGACGAGGTGTGAAATGAGCCCAGGAAGATGGATGGAGGGAATCAGGGAGGGATCCAGATATCCCTGGGGAAGGTGCAGTGGTGATCCCTCGCCTCTGCAGGGGTACCCATATGGACATATGTTGCCTCAGAGTGGGAGGGAGGTCAGTTCTTAAAAAAAGATGACAACAGCTGATGTGATTTTTAAGTTTTATTTTTATGTGAGAGGCTGGTTTTGCTTGTCCTGGGGCGGGGCTGGACTACAGCCAGAGCATGCTGTCACGGGGCAGGTGAAGATGCATCTTCACAGGATGGAGACAAGCTCGGCAGGATCTTTCCTTTTCGGGTGCGTTTGCGTGTGAAAACGTTTCTGCCCACCCTGTGGGAAGCAGAGAGTTCCTGTGGGACGACCCGCATACATGGTCCACTCAGAGCTGCCAGTGCCAGCAGATGACAGGGGTATCCCTAAATGCCCACCAGCTCGCCTCGAGCAGCTGTCGGATGCCCTTGGCCAGGAGGTATTGGCATTCCCCCTGCAAACCCGTACTGGGGAGTTCCCAGGGGTGGTCCCCTCACCCAAGGGGACGCTCATTGTCAGAGGTCCTGGGAACGGCCTCTCTGTAGGTCCACTGCCCCCCAGGTCCACCCACTACCTCGTGGCTTTCCAGTCCTCCTCAAGGGACCCGACAGCTTCTCGCAGCAGCCACATGGTGGTCAGCGTCTCCTTTCCACCTGTGTCCACGAAGCACTGCCCCGCGAAGGCGGTGGTGGCATCTGGGGAAGCACTTGGTGAGGTGTCCGTGGGGACAGCATCCACGCTCATTGGCTGTTCCCCCCTCCCCGGGATCCTCCCGGCTACTCCAGTTCCCACTCTGATGGCCACACGCCCACCCGAACCACTCTGGGGGGACCTGCCTGTCCCCCGTGGCTCCCTCGGGTGAGGCAGGCTCTCTGGCACCACATTCCCCAAGACCAAACAGGGTCTGGATGCACCAGAGTCACCTCGGGCTGCCCGTGAGGGATGGATACAAAGGCTCTGGGTGAGGAGGGGTTGCCCCATGCAAATCCAGCATTGCCCATGATCCCCACGCTGGGTAGGCACCCCTGCCTCCCTCTGCTTAACCACACTGAAGCATCACCCAGCAGACTTCCCAGCAGAGGAAGAAACCTGCTGGTCATCTGCACAGCTCCCAGTGCCCCCGTGGTGCTATCCCCAGGTGTCCCAGCACTTACTGGAGAACTTGTCCCAGCGCACGGTGAAGGCAAAGGTGGGCCAGCCCCCGTCTCCGGGCTGCTGCTGGATGCCTTTCAAGGGGGAGATGTGGGCACAGGCACCAGTGAGGGTGACCCGCGTGAGGTATTTCCCTTCGAAGTCCCCATTGTCCATCACCGTCGAAATCTCCATCAGTGAGTCCTGCTCATTCCTCCACAGCCCGCTGAGTTGGCACTGGAGGGACACAGTGACAGGGCCTCTGCCCCTGCCCACGGCACAGAGGGGGACCCCATCCATCCCACCGCCCCACAGCTGGAGCCACAAGCCCTGCTGCGAGTGTAACTGGGTAGCAGAGCTCTCCTTGTCCCCAGTTTGGAGAAACACTCCCCCAAGTGCTGCTGGCTGCTGAGTGGACAGAACATGTGCCAGCCTGTCAGCATGCGTGGTACGCCCAGATACAGACCCCATGGGAGACGATGCTCCACGAATGGTGCCCCTGAGCACAGACCCCGCGGGAAGGGATGCCCAGTGCGTGGTGTGCTGGGCAGAGACCCCCCTGGGAGGGAATGTCCTATGCACGGTGCCCCTGTGGGAGCAAAGCTTTGTGAAGGTGGTACTAAGTAGCTGGGGGGTGACCCAGAGATACCCTGCCTATTGCCTGGGCTAGGTGCTTGCAAAGTTCTCCTGCTCATCCCAGCCTAAAATGGCATTTAAGAGAGAACCCCCGGCTTCCCGCACGGCATCCCAGCGCTATGTCTGCCACATGCCCATCATCACCCGTCCCTGTACCTTCCTCTCCGCAGGGGTGACACGTGCTGCCAGGGCGAGGACCAGGACCAGGGCGAAAGCACCGCTCCCCATGGCCACGGGGCTGCCAGGCGCCCGGCACGGCTCCCACACGGCCCCGCGCCCCAGCCCCCTTTATAGGGCTGTAACCGGAGCCCCACAGGCACTGGGCTGGCAGCCGTGGGGCGGGTGGCCCGGTGGCAGGGCGCCCGGGACAGGCGAGACGAGGAGGTCTGCGTGACCTGGGGGCAGTGCCGGAGGAACGTGGGGATGAGCACGGCTGTGGAGGGAGGCAGGGGCGCAGGGATGGTTTGCACATCCACCATCCAAGAGGTTCTGCCAGCCCATTCCTTGATCTGTGACCGAGTCCTCGGGGTGGGCACAGCCTGGCACTGTCCTGCTGCCACCATGCCAGTGCTGACATCCAAAGACAGTGCTGCAGCAAGCACAGCCCCACCATCTCCTCTCCGCTGCACTGACGGGTGGTGTGTCTAACCACAGCAGTTTGTCCTCGTGGCAATCCCCTCCCACATTACAAGTTTCTGCTGCTGTTTCTAAGCTGTATTCTTTCTCCTGGCTGTGCTGAGCTTTCTCTGAGTCTGGGAGCTGTGACTGTCACTACAGAGTGAACTCTTGGGCACCCTTGAATTAATCCCTTTTGTACGTACAGATGAGCTTTTCTGGAAGATATGTAGATATTAAAATTCTTTTGTCCCTTTGCTGGGGGATGTCCTGTGCATGGTGCCGGCATGCACAGACTCCATGGGAGGCAATGCCCCATGCATGGTGCTCTGAGGGTGGGCAGGGTACGGGTACAGCACAGAGCCCTGCCTGAGCCCTCCCACGGGGTCCCTAATGGGACCATACTGAGGACACACAGGTGGCACAGGGTCCTCAGACTATGTGGCTCTTGCACAGGGACACGGCACAGCCACCTCATCTAAGATATCTCTCAAGCTGGGTGAGCATGTCACTGCCGACACTGCAGGGGAAGACAGAGCCGGCACCTGGCTGTGTCCAGGTCAGGAGGGACCTCTCTGGCCCCTGCCCAGCACAGGGGGATGAGCATCTGCTTTGAGAATACTCCAGAGACACATCTGCCTGGGCTTGAAGCCACCAAGACTCTCCCCCTCTCCGGGGAACACGACCTGGCAATGCCCACTTGCGAATTGCACTTTGTTTTTAATTTAAAAATGACAGTGTCTTCCTTCAGATCCCATCCTGGGGAGTTGCTCCAAAAGCTCTTGGGGTCCCAGCACCGTTCTCCCTTGCTTGCTGCCCAGCTGGCTCCTATACCAGCACCCACCCTCAGGGCTCAGCGCTCCCCCCTAGAGCTCCATGCTGCACCCATGGGCATGACCCCAGCATAGAGAGGAGATGGAGATGTGCCCTGCAGCCCTGCTCTGCCGGGGGCTCACCCGCTGGCTTTCCTGTCATCCTTGAGGCTGTCAACCTCATCTTGTGTGATCCATGTGGTCCTCAGTATTTCATTCCTGTCCTCATCCATGAAGCACTGGCCCATGGAGGTGGTGGTGGAATCTGTGGCCTGTGAAGGGGTGGAAGACGGTGCTTGGATGGGTCTTTCCCTCTTAAGCAGACAGCTTGCCTGTTTGTGAGTGGGAAAAGCTTCTTGCGAGTGGGTGATGTTTCCTTTCGCAGCCATTTGTCCTGCTGGAACAGAGGGCATGACACTAGACAGGCATGGGATATGCAGGGCAGCTGAACCTGTATCCAGTTCTGCCCCACCTTGTCCTGGACAGGAGCTGCCTGAAAAAGAGCCAGAAGTGGGGACTGGGAGGTGCCACCAACCTTGAGGCTCTGGTGTTGGGGATGGGGGAGTGCTGGAGACGCAGTAGAGAGGCATGGGACCATCAGGGACACCATAAAGAGGGCTGGAGAGCTCTGGGAACACTGCAAAAATTGGAGAGCACTGAGAACACCACAGGAGAAGGCAGGGGATCATAAAGGACACTGCAGGAGGAGGGCAGAAAAGCATCAGGGACACCACCGGGAGGGCAGGAGGGCTCTGGGGACACTGCGGGAAAGCTGGGAAAGAAGTACCTGAAAAGCTCCAGTTTACAGTGAAGCCGAAGGTGGGCTGGCTCTTCTGGTTTGTGTTGTGCTGGGACCCCTGCAGCGGTGACACCTGGATCTCATTCATGGTGGCTGTCACGGCGGTGTGGTAGGAGCCAGCGAATTCGCCTTTTCCGTTCAAAACCCCGATTATCATGTTGGAGCCCAGATCGTTGACCCATTTCCCCGTCAGCACGCACTGGAGCGGAGATCACTCAGCACCAGTGCTGCGGAACAACCTGGGCACAGGCAGCGTGACAGGACTGGGCACCTCTGGGAGCCATGGAAGGGAAGCTGGATGAGCCACAGGTCCCCCACCCACCCAAGAGGGATGTACAGACAAGTGTGGTGAGCTCAGCCAGGGGCCGGGGGGGAAGACTGAATCTGGGAGGGTGCCCCGGATCCCTGACAGCCCCAGGAGGTCTGAGGGCCTGGCCAAGGAGCTCCTTCATCCTGCCAGGATGATGGTCCACGTTCAGCAGGGCTGCAGCCAGAGCTGGGCCAAGGAGAGAGGTGAAGAAGCAGAGCACGGTGTGTGGTCTTGACTAGGGGGCTGGCAGGATTGATGACCACGTGGCCATGGCAGGGGGAGCAGAAGCTATGGGACTTCATTTGTAAGTGAAGTTATAGGCTTGAAAATCAAATTTATTCTTTCTTCATCGCTGCAGCATGGCTAGGTACCAGGCTTTGCCTGTGCATACACACACACTGACCAGCCAGGGAGTCCCTGGGTGACCTGGGAACCGCCAGGCTCCATCTGCTTAGGTGGGACAACAGCTGGACTGAGGCAGATGTTGGGCACTTGAGATATTCAGTGTTGAGATATCTGTAAACAGTCAATAGGAACATTCCCTGCAGAAACAGTCGAGTAGGACATCTTTCTGCTTGTGGTTAAGACACTGTCGTGGTTTATACCCGGCTGGCAGCCAAACACCACACAGCCACTCGCTCACTCTGCCACACCCCAGGGAATGCGGGAGAGAGTTGGAGAGGTAAAGGTAAGGAGACTCATAGGTTGAGGTAAAAATAATTTAATAATTGAAATAAAATAATATTAAAATAATAATGATAATAATAACAGCAATAACAGAAAATGCAAACGGGCAGTGCGCAGTGTGCTTGCTCAGCACCCGCTGACCGATGCCCAGCCCCTCCCCGGCCAGCGATCCCAGAGAGGAGAGTCCTGGAACCACAATCCCAAAAACCTGAGTGGACCTTCCCAGACAACCCTTATCCATATACTGAGTATGATGTTAGATAATATGGAATATTCCACTGGACAATTTGGGCCGTTGTTTTGGCTGTGTTCCCCCCCATCTTCGTGGGTACCTGAATACTTGCGGGCCCTGAGAAGCTGAAAAAGTCCTGGGTTTCTTAGCAACAACTAAAAGCATCAGTGCATTATCAACATTCTTTTCATATCAAATCCCATACTGAATCCAAAACACAGCACTATTCCAGCTACTAAGAAGGAAGGAGGAAAAAAAATGAATTACCTCTATCCCACCCAAAACCAGGACAGACATGTAAGTGCTGGAGGACCCGTGCAACAGAGAGTCCTTCTCAGTTCTGACAGTGACCAACTGTTTCAGGGGTTTGATCCCCTACGTGAGCATTACCCCATGCCAAGATCTCAATAAATTAGTTTTTCTGTGTTTTTGTGGGAGCAATTGTGCAACACAAACACAGCAGCAGCCACATGCTGTGTGTGATTGCCAGGTGCCTCCTGCCTCCTCCAGCATCCCGTGTCCCTGAAGGCATTCACACTGGGTGAATGACCATGACCAAGGCTTGTCATGCAACAGCAATGGCTGGTTTCCTTGCCAGAGGGAGGACTGTGGTGGGGCTGAAGGGGACCTTGCCACTCACTTTCGCCTTGTCAATAAACTTGAGCTGGAAGGAGGCAATTAATGCTGCGTTTGCGGCTCAGAGAGGCAGAGCAGACATGAGCAGTGTGGAAAGCTGTTCTAACAACCTGCCATCCCAAAACCGAGACGCTCCATGTGTCTCAGCGTTGCTTGGTGCCCTCATATAGGCCTTGCAAACATCTCTGCCAGCCCATGACCACTGCATTTCTCACCAGCACCATCTGCCGTGCCCTGCCCTTTGCAGACTGCTCAAACCGCAGCCAGCACTGTTGCCTTGCCGGAGCACCCCAGGGCTGCTGCACAGCCTCGGGGAGCCCTGCCCGAGGGAAATGTTGACTTCAAGGCAATAACAACGTCAGGAGGGTGCAGGCAGGAAGGCAGCAGGCTTAGCAGGATGCCCCGTCACCGAGCTGGCCACGCTTTGGGGTGAGAGCAGAGTCCTGGGGTCCCCCTGCCACCCTCTTTCCTAACTCTCGGGTTCCTCTAAAGCAGCTATGAGGCTGCGCAGACCAAAGGAGAGCGTAGCACAGGGCTGGCGTGAAGGCATTCTGCTCCAAAAGGCTGTGAGGGAACTGAGAAAGCTGGAGAAATTCCAGGGAGGCACCGTGAGGGAAACAGCAGCATCGCTTCAGTTGTGGAAGCTGGACCCAAGGGAGAACACGGTGAAAATCAAACCACATGCAAATCTGCAGCAAGGCAGGCTAAAACACAGAGCAGGTGGAAAACTTGCTGAAGCCACGGGTGCTGTTAGCAAAGCTCTCCCACGGCATTCGTGGCAGGAAAACCAGGGGAGCAGCGGGAGGTGGGAGCCCCACCAGCCCACTCCTGCCTTTAGGCGGCTCGGGTCCCGGGCAGGGTGCTGCCGCGGGGCGTGCGGCACCGTCCGGGGTTATTTTGCAGCGGGGCAGCCTGAGGACCGAGTTTCAGATTCAGGACCGGAGCTCGGTTTCCAGGAAATCATTAAATTTGCTGGGAGGAGTGACTCAGACGGCACAGGGATGGCTCACTGGAGTCAGTCTCAAACTTGAGCAGGCAGGAGTTTGTGCTGGATTTGCTGCACCCCTGGTTTCCAGTAAATCACATGCATTTCCCTAACAGGAGTTTGGGGACTGGGTGTGCTGCAGCTGCTGACGCTGTGCTGCTGGTACAGAGCGGTCCTCGCCGCTTGCCAGGAGTATGGACACAGCCAAGACCCCACGTCTGCCCGCCCGAGGGCTGCCTCAGAGCTGGGGGGGCTCCCAGCCAGGTTTCTGGGGGGCAGAGGGGCCGGCGTTCAAGCAGGGAAGAGCCAGGGCTGGCCCGTGCTTGTGTCAGGGGGTCACTTTGGGGATTCACCATCCCACTTGGGCTGGAAAAGGGGCTTTCTCGGGGCCAGTCTCTTTCCAGAGTAACAGGGAGAGAGGTCCACGTTGCGCCTGCTGCCGAGCTTTAGCCCAGTTTACCCAGGACATATCCACAGACTGCACAACGCTGGGTTTAAAGACAAAAAACAAGTTTATTTTTCTTTGGAACTTGGCGACATCTTCCGTTAAAGCTGAAACCAACCCTGAAGCTGCTGAGGGAACACCTGTTCTGCCGAGCCCGGCTGAAGCGAGAGGATTCTCCCTCCTCCCTTCAGTGCACCCGAGTGAAGATGTTGTGCCCGGTCCTGCGGGGAAGCAGCAGCCCATCGGTGCTCGGCCGGCGGAGGGGCAGGGCTCCCAGCCGGGCTGGGTGGCCCTTGGCTCACCTGGTGGCTTTCCAGTCGCTGGACAGGGAGTCGACCTTCTCCCGCAGCAGCCAGGAGGTCTGCAGGACCTCCTCCCCGCTGTTCCCAGCAAAGCACTGGCCCACGAAGACAGCTGTGGAGTCTGGAGGAGCGGTGGCTGTTAGCATCCCAGCGGCACCCCGGCTGCTTTGGGGGCTCCACGAGCACCAGCGGGTCTAACGCTGACGGAGCCCGGGTGGGTCCCGCTGTTGGCAAGGAAATGCTCTGCGGCAGAGATGCTGCCAAAGCAACTCTCGGTGCCGCCGGGCCCAAACAGTGTTTCAGGAGATGTCCTGCTGCCTGCAGACATCGTCCAGCGTGGGGAGAGATCGGGGAGGGGCAGAGTGGGGACACGAGAGGGGCCAGAGGGATTGGGGTGGGTGCTGGGACCTGCCTCACCTCCCCTCCCCATCCCACCACTCCGTCCAGGCTCAGCCACCGCTGCAGCTACTGACCAGAGAACTTCCAGTTGACGGTGAAGCCGAAGGTGCACTGCCCGTCCTCATCCAAGTGCTGGGAGCCGACAAGCGGGGAGGGCTCGATGGGTTTCTGGGCGCTCGACACGGCAGTGATGTACTCGCCGGAGAACCTGCCCTGGCTGTCAACCTCAGGCACGTGCATCTTGGAGCCCAGCTCGTTCTCCCACCAGCCGGTCAGGTCACACTGCTGGGGGACAAGCAGCCGTGTCCCCGGGGGCTGCCTGCACACAGCCCCTGCCCCTGCCCCGCAGGATGAGGCCCCTGCCCCGCAGGTTGAGCCCCCTGCCCGCACCCCCCCGATGCCCACGGGGTGCAGGCACTCACCTTGACATTCCTTGTGGGGTGTTTCTGCTCTCGAATGGGCCACCACTTGCTCTTGGTGGCCTTTGCCTCCTTCTCGCGGGCCTTTTCCCCGCTGGGGTCCTCGGCTGCCTGGCAGAAGAGCTTGGAAAAGGAAGAAAACACAGGGGCAAGCTGTGGGGAGCAGCAGCACAGCAGGGTGCCTCCAGAGCCCCGTGAGTGCTCCCGCCCCCCTGTGTAAGAGACACGATTTATATAGTCTATATAAATCCACTGCCATCTCAGCTGTGTCAGGAGGGCCAAAAGCTGGGGTAAGCCAAGCAGGAGGGGAGAGGTGAAGAGGAAAAGCTGAAGGCAGGAGCCCCACACAGGCAGGAGTACAGGCGGGACCCCCACTCCGGCCCTGCCAGGTGAGGATGCGACCCCAGGACCGTCTGCCTGCGCCTGTGGGGACGTGTGCTGTGCTCAGCATCGGTGCGTGGCACGCGTGGGGAGCCCACTGGGATGGGCAGAGCCCCCAGGTTCCTGGTGGGCTCCTGCACGGCCGAGGAGGCGGCACAGCCAGAGCCCCCCCAGCGCCCCATTAGCGCTGCCCCGGCTCCAGCTCCCTGTGCTGCCTGTCCGCTCCCACACCGCACCTCCCCGGGCCGGGGCAAGACACCCCCCCCGGGGCAGGGTCCCCACGTTATGCCTGCCCCAATTCCCTGCACGCCTCCGGGGCCGGGCTCCCCACACGAGTGTCCCCCCCGCCCCAGGGAAGGGATCCTCATGCACATCCCTCCCGGGGACGTGGACAACCCCGCAGCATCTCCCCCCCCTTCCCTCCCGGAGCCTCCCCCTCGGCCGCAGCGCCGGGCAGCGTCCCCGCAGGTGCACGGTGTCCTCCTGCTGCCGGGGTTCCCCCCCACTCCCCCACCCGCGGGAGAGTCTTCCACGAGTGTCACTCCTTCACAAGCGCTGCAGCTCCCACATCTGACACCACCCGCCACCCCCGCCGGGGTGTGTTTCCCACGCGCGTCCCTCCCGGGACATCCCCCCCCCCAGCTCGTCTCCCACCAAGATCTCCCACCCGCGGCCCCGTTCCCACCTGTGTCCCCGCAGCGGCCGCGGCCACGGAGGCCCCGATAGGCAGGGTGAGGATGGAGAGGAGGTGACGGCTCATCCCGATGCAGCAGCGAATCCGAAATCCGGCTGAGCTGCGACCGCCTCGCCCCTTGGTAACCCCTCCCCTCGGGGCCCCCCGCTGCCTTCCCGGAAAGCGCTGCCGGCACCGGCAGGTGCGACGGGGCGGGGGATGGGGCCGGGGACGCGGGAGGGGCTGCCTGGGGCTGCCCACTGCCCGTATCCCAGCCCGGGGGTCCCTGGTCTCCCGGCTGAGGGCTGTGCCTGGGCTGCCCCCCTGCCCTGCAGGAGCCCCCGCCCCCCAAACCCCCGCCCCGGTCGCCGCAAGGGACTCACGGAAGGCCGGGGAGCCCTGGGGGCAGGGCGACGGGAGGGGTGCGGGGACGGCTGGCGATGTGCAGCGGCCCCGGGGGCTGCGCAGCCGAAGGAAGCGAACCTGCCCCGGCAGCGAGAGGGAAAGGCCGGGGCGCGGCGGGCCGGGGGCGGGCAGCCCTGGCCACACGTCCCGGGAGAGCGAAAGGGCAGCAAACGTCGGGGCAGGAGCGGGCCGGGCGGGCTGTTGCTGCGGGGGAGCGGGGCGGCTGCTGGGGCGCCGGGGACGGGGCCGTGGGGGAAGCGGGGCCGGGCTGGGGGGCGCTCGGGGCGGCTGGGGAGCGGGGCCTGGGGGGCGGCGGCGGTGCCGCGGTCACCGCTGGCTTCCTCTCTCAACCTGCGGGTTTGCTTTCTCTTTCTGTTCCCTCGCAGGCTGCTTACATCGCCTCCTATCCCGGGGGCTGCCTTCTTAGGGAACACCAAGAGACAGGGAATTTGCAGCCGTGGGGGCGATGAAAGGGCAGAAAGGAAGTCTTACTGCCCGCTGCCGCGTTGTTCTTGGTGGCCCCACGTCCCCCCGTGGGCTCCCCGCCACCGGCGTTCCCAGCCTCATCCTCTGAGTCCCGCTGGGGTGCCGAGGTTTTGCCCTCACCGACCGTCTGGAGGAGCATTTGGGGACCCGCTCATGGTGCTGGTGACAGCCACAGCGGGCGACTGGGGAGGGCGAGTGCGAGAAGGAGCCCAACGTGTTCAAGGCAGGGCCAAGGATGTCAGCGTGCAACGGGGCTGAAACGAGGGGCTGCATGTGGAAGGCAGGAGGGTGCAGGGGTGAGGATGGGGATGCAGGGGTGAGGGTGAGGGGCAGGGGTGAGGATGAGAGTGGAGAGGTGAGGATGAGGGTGGAGGGGTAAGTATGAGGATGCAGGGGTGAGGATGAGGGTTCAGAGTTGACTATAAAATGCAGGGATGAGTATGAGGGTGCAGTGGTAAGAATAAGGGTGCATTAGTGAGGATGAGGGTGCACAGGTTGCTTTTGAGTAAAAGCTGGGCTACCAGGCACATCAGGAAGTCTTGGCCAGTACAGCCACAACCTTGACAGACTGCTCTGTCTGCGTGTTGTAGTTACCTTAATAAAATAGCTTGAATCCTAGAATATTAATTTGGTTTCAGTTTAGAATATGATTTTGATTTTAAAATGGAGTTACAGCAGCTATGAGAATATAAAGCACACTAAGGCCCTTAGGAATAGGTGGCTAGTATGGTGTGTGCCTTGAACACTGTACAAATTGTTATGGACTTTGAATTAAAACAATAGGTACTGGTTATGGATCTTGAGTCAAAACAATAGGTACTAGAAGATACTGGGTTTGGTTTGGAAGATCAGCCAAAGAAGAAATGAGCATCGGCCAAAGATGAAATGAGCATGCGCAGGGATGGAGTTCAATCAGCGGACACGGTGAGGCAGACCATCAACGACCATCAGAGGACCCCCATCTAACATAACCACGCACGCGTTAGAGACATTTGCATATGATAATGATTTCCAGGAAATAACATGAATATGCTAATCATTACCCTCCCCTCATTCTATTCAAATCAATCAGTAAAGATGACCAACGATTTCTGTAGAATAGGAATATAGGTAAGGTGAGGTAACTGAAAGCCAATCATTATTAAAATCAAACTAAACTTTATGAATTTTGTTGATCTTATGTAACCATGACTCTGCTGAAAAAGTGTATAAATATGTTGTGCTTTGTACCTGTCGGTGAACACGTCTTTGGTGGAGCTATCCCCCGTGTTCCCCAGCGCTGGGATAAAGAAGTGACGGCTTATCTGCTTTGTGTAGATAAGTTCTATTCGTGATTGGGACCGCTAACATGTGCACTTTCCAGGAGCCCATGGGGCTGAGAGCAGGCCCAGAGCCTGGGAGGGAAGGAAGGAGAGCAGAAGAGGCTGAGGAAGCCTGTGGAGAAGTTGGCACACTGTGAGAGGAAGAAGATGGTGGGCAGGCCCTGACGCTTTCTAGGGGCACTGTGTGCTTGCTGCCCCAAAGTCCCTGCCCCATCCGACTGTCTCTTCCCCCGCGTTGTCATTTAGGGTCAGCCACAACAAAAGAACCAGGCGGCTGCTCTCTTGCCCTCCCCCCATGGGATGGGGCAGAATTGGGAAGAAAAAAATGAAGTAAAAGCCTGTGGCCTGAGTTAAAGAGAGTTTAATAGAACAACACAGAAGAGAAGGAAACTAGAACAACAACAATGCTAAGAGATAAGAAACCAAATCTATAAATTGAGCGATACACAATGCAATTGCTCACCAGCCAGTGCCCCAGCTCAGCCACTTCCCCAGCCAGGATTGCCCCGCACCCCCAGGCACCTCCTCCAGTTGTATACTGGGCATTAGAGGTCAGTGTGGTGTCCCATATCCCCTTGGCTGGTTTGGGTGACCTGCAAAATTTAACCCTATCCTTGCCAAACCCAGGACTTTATTCACCCCTTATTCTACATCATCTATATCATGCCCACTTCCTACACTTACCAATTATTTACTACCACTTTTTCTCTCTCCTTTATAGATATATAGATATAGATACACACACACACATATATATATCTACATATATAAGTACACGCACAGACACACATTCACATGTATATATACACACAAGCAGAGATATCACTGCCTTAGTCTATGGGCCCTCCCTCTAACGTCTCCATTGATTTAATTTAATCATGACTTTGGGGCTCCATCTGTTGTAGCAGTCTTTCATGGCAGGAAAGGTGGTGTGTGACGTTTGATTGGTGCCTGCTGCATCCAGATCTCGTGGCTGGTGTATTTAGTGTGGCCTGTACCCATGGTCTACAGGCTGGAGATTCCGGTCTTGAGGAGGTTTCTGGGCACCAGTTGCTGCAGCCAGTTCAAGTTCTACCACTGCTACATTTCTCTTGGTTTGATCAAACTCCGTCCTTCATTGATTTTGGTGATTCTTACTGTAATGCCATTTGTATGGCACACAGCAACTGCAATAGTGATGACATACAGTGGCAGGGCTATTTTGCAACTAACATCATATAATTTAATTCACTGGCTACTCTCACCCAAAATCAAATCCTCTTAAGGTACACATTGAACACCCTCATCCTCCCTCATCACCCACCAAGTGCACTCAGGTCCTTGAGCCAATATAATTTCGCAAATGCGTTTGCCTCTGCCCAAGGCAGGACTAACCCAGACTGTCTTCTCTACTATATTGTTCATGTGCACTACGGGAACTTCATCCGCTTCTAGAGTATGTGGAAGCTTTGGGCAGGGCCAGGCTGACTGGTAGATCCTCTACTGTTCACTAACCAGGTGGCTTTTGTTAAATGTGTATCCCAATGTTTGAAGCTCCCACCCTCCATTGCTCTCAGTGTAGTTTTTAGCAGCCCATTGTATCGTTCAATTTCTCCAGAGGCTGGTGCATGTCAGGGGATGTGATATACCCACTCAGTGCCTTGGTCTTTGGCCCAGATGTCTATAAGGTTGTTTTGGAGATAAGTCCTGTTGTCTGACTTCTGCCTCTCTGGGGTGCCATGTCACCACGAGATCTGTCTTTCAAGGCCCAGGACTGTGTTCCAGGTGGTGGCATGGGGCACAGGATATGTCTTCAGCCATCCCGTGGTTGCTTCCACCATTGTAAGCAGATGGCACTTGCCGTGCTGGGTTTGTGGGCGTGTGATACAGTCAATCTGCCAGGCCTCCCCATATTTATATTTCAGCCATCGTCCTCTGTACCACATAGGCTTTAACCACTTGGCTTGTTTGATCGCAGCACATGTTTTGCATTCATGGATAACCTGTGCGATACTGACCATGCTCCACCCCTCAATTCCAAGCCCATCTGTATGTTGCACCTCTTCCTTGATGGCCTGAGATGTCATGGACCCACCGAGCTATAAATAATTCACCCATATGTTGCCAGTCTAAATCCACCTGAACCACTTCAATCTTAGCAGCCTGATCTACCTGATGGTTGGATTTTTGTTCCTCAGTGGCCTAACTCTTAGGATCCATGAGTCAGTGTAGAGATAGAGCACTGGCCAGTTTTCTCCCTCAGCAACATTTAAGGCCAGCTGAATTGCTTTCACATCTGCAAACTGACTCAATTCACCTTCTCCTTCAGCAGTTCCTACGACTTGTCATGTTGGACGCCATACAGCAGCTTTCCATCTCCGATGCCTTCCTACAGTGTGACAGGACCCATCAGTGAGCCATGCATATTGCTTCTCATTTTCTGGCAGTTTATTATACGATGGGGCCTCTTCAGCACATACCACTTCCTCCTCTGGTGATATGCCAAAATCCTTGCCTTCTGGTCAGTCAGTGATTACTTCCAGAATTCCTGGGTGACTGGGGTTTCCTATTCAAGCCTGCTGTGTGATCAGTGTGACCCACTGACTCCATATAGCATCAGCTGAGTGCTGTGTAGAGGGGACCCTCCCTTTGAACATCCAGCCCAGCACCGGCAGTCGGGGTGCCAGAAGGAGCTGTGCTTCAGTACCAACCTCTTCTGAACCAGCTCGAACCCCTTCATGTGCTGCCAATATCTCCTCTTCAGCTGGACTCCAGTGGGCCTTGGATCCTCTATATCCCTGACTCCAAAAGCCCAGGTCTCCTCTGGTGATTTCTGCCAGAGACTCCAGGTAAGGTCATTCTCACCGGCTGCCGGTCTACAACACATTTTAAACATCTTGTCCTGACTGGGCTGGCCCAAGGGCTACTGCATGAACAATCTCTCATTTAATTTGTTCAAAGGCTTGTTGTCGCTCAGCACCCCATCTGAAATAATTTATTTTCCAAGTCACTTGGTAGAGAGGGCTTCCAACCAGACTGTAATTTGTGATATGCATTTTTGGAAAACCCACAACACCTACGAAAGCTTGTGTTTCCTTTTTACTAGTTGGTGGAGACATAGCTGCTTGTTGCATTTAAGGTGACAAATTAATTTGGTAAGAGATGAATCCCCTTGAATTCTAGCTGATCCTCAATGATTAGAGGGGCTAGGGGGTGGGTGAACTCTTCTTTTAAAATATAGACCAGTTATTGCTATGACTATAGGTCTGACACCCAATGCACGAACAGCTCGTATGCTGTACATCCAGCCACATTCAAAAGAAGCAATCAGATGCACAAACAGCATGGCTTATTCTTATGCAACATTTACAGATTCTTTG